GAAATGCAAATTAAAACAATAAGATAGCACTACACATCTATTAGAATGGCCAAATCCAGAACAATGACACCAAAATGTTGGTGAGGATGTGGAGCAACAGGAATGCAAAGTGATACGATCACTTTGGAAGATAGCTTGGTGGTTTTTAAGAGAGTAAACATACTCTTATCATAAAAATCTAGCAATCATGTTCCTTGGGATTTACCCAAAGGAGATGAAAACTTATGTCCACACAAAAACCTACACATGAATGTTTATGACAGCTTTATTCATAGTTGCCAAAACTTGGCAGCAACCAAGATGTTCTTCAGTAGGTGAATGGCTAAACTGTGGTACATTCATACAATGGAATATTATTCAGCAGAGAAAATACATGAGTTATCAAGCCATGAAAAGACATGGAGGAACCTTAACGTCATATGTGAACGAAGACAATCTGAAAAGGCTACGTACTGTATGATTTCAATTATAATCCATTCTGGAAAAGGCAAACTATGAAAACAGTAAAAAGGTCAGTGATTGTCAGGAGCTGGTGGAGAGGGAAGGGGTGAATAAAAGCACAGAAGATTTGGGGGGCAATGAAAATACTCTGTAGAATACCTAAATTATGGATACCCATCATTATAAATTTGCTCAAACCCATAGAATGTACACCAAGAGTGATAACATAAACTATGGAGGTTTATGGGAGGTTTATGATGTGTCAATGTGGGTTCAGCCATTTTAACAACAGCACTACTCTGGTGGGAGATGGTGATTGTGGGGGAGGCTGTGCATGAGTGGGGGCAGAAGGGATATGGGGAATTTCTGTACCTTCTCTCAAATTTCTTGTGAACCTAAAGTTGTTCTAAAAAAAACCATTGTCTTAAAAAATGTAAATTATACATAATCACCCTAAGAATAGAGCAGCAATTCTCAAGTGTAGTGTGCAAACCCCCAAGGGTCCCTGAGAACTTTTCAGGGGGTTCATAAGGTCAAAACTATTTCTCTAATATCAAGACAAGATATGCCTCTTTCATTTCTCACTAAATATGTTTTGTTCTTTATTGTTGATATTTGCACTGATGGCACAAAGCAATGACAACTTAAACTGAAGGCACCTTAGAGGGAATTAAGGCAGTACAAATCTTAACAGTGGTCATTGTATTTAGTTTCCATTGCCTTTCATTCACAGAAAAGGAAGGAAGGAAGGGAGGGAGGAAGGGAGGGAGGGAGGAAGAAAAGAAAAGGAGAGAAGGAAAAAAAACAGCAAGAACAAAACTGTTTCACTTAAGAAGTTCCTTAATGTAACTAACCATGAAGAATTATTTCAACCCTCTCAATA